AATAAAAGGAGTAGGACTTATAAAATATAATAAAGATGAAGAAGATATGAACACTTTAAAAGATTTGAAACACAAAACTATTAGAAAATGGTAAAATTGTTAATGATAAGAACACAAGGAAGAAATTGAAGTCACGTAATAGAAGTACAGGTTTTTTTTTTGTTTTTTTTTCTGATATCGGATAAGGATTATGATTATAAAACACAACTGAGTGAAGAAGATAAAAATACTTAAAATAATATTAAGCTTAAAATCACTAGTACACGAGATTAAAGGGGTAGAATAACTAATGTTAAAATGAACAGGTAGAAACAGATATGTAATAGATAGGAAGGTGAATGTATAGTTCAAAATAAAAGGAGTAGGACTTATAAAATATAAAAAGAGGAAGAAGATATGAACATTTTAAAAGATTTGGAACACAAAACTATTAGAAAATGGTAAAATTGTTAATGATAAGAACATAAGGAAGAAATTGAAGTCACGTAATAGAAGTACAGTTTTTTTTTTGTTTTTTGTTTTTTTTGAAAATATCTCAATGCACTCAGGTCTATAATAGAAATAGGCACCTCCTCCTCAAGGATAATTTCTTTTCCCAGCCATGTGTCCGTGGCTGAGACACAATAACCGATATGGCGAGAATGCGTTTCTCGCATATCGAGAAAATGGCTCTCCCATTTTTGATGGATGAGAGGCCATTTTTTCCTATCTAGTTTATAACCAGAAAGGAAGGGTATGAATGTTTTAATATATGTGTTGTGTTATTGTTGTGGTTGAACATGCCGTCGGGGATACTGGGAGGTTTTTGCGGGGAAAATGGTTAAAATGTTATCAGCTAACACTCAGGGCCTGAACTCTCACTCTAAAAGAGCATTAGTATACGACTCTATGGTTAATCAAAAGATAGAGATTGGTTTCCTGCAAGAGACACATTGGAGACTGATCGATAAGGTAAAATGGGGAGGAGAAAGATTCCCACACTTGTTCCAGGCTTCGCTCAACGATTGTAAAAAAAGGGGGGTTGCTATATTGGTGGCAAATACGGTGAAATTCGAACTAATATATCAATATGCGGATAGGGAAGGTAGATTTTTAATTGTTATTTGTAAAATAAATGAAATTAAATATACTCTAGTCAATATATACCTGCCAAATTCTTTCCCTGTGGTTACTTTAAGAAAGATTTTGGAACAAGTGGAAATGATTAAGACTGGAGTATGTTTGATTGCAGGAGATTTCAATTGTGTGTTGGATCCAGTTTTAGATAAGAAACTTAGCATTAAGACCTCAGTGAACAGCTCAGTAGCTAAAATGGCAAAAAGCCTTAGAAATATAAAAAACGAGTTCGATTTTTTTGATTTATGGAGATCTTCTTACCCAGAGAAACTGGATTATACTTTTTTCTCTAGAGTCCATTATTCATATTCACGTATTGATATGATTTGGGGGGATATGAATGCTTTAGAAAATTTAGAGAAAATTGACATCAGGAATAATACATGGTCGGATCATAGTATTAATATATGGACTATGAAAGACCAGTGGAACATTAAAAATAGAACGACATGGAGAATAAACGATTATATACTACAAAATAAAAAAAATCAAGAGGTTCTTAGAACCCAGATAGATAGATTCTTTAAAGATAATAAACCTAATGAAACTACACATTCCAATAACTGGTGTACCTTTAAAGCTACAATAAGAGGCAGCTTAATAAGTATGGAAGCGTACTCTAAAAAATCTAAGAGAGAAGAACTAATTTCCTTACTTGATAAATTAGAGGAAAAATCTAAAGAGAATAAAAAAACTCCTTCTAGAGAGAACTCGGAGGTTATTGTTGAGATACAAAATCAAATTAACCAAATAAAAATTGAGAAAAATACAAAGATAATGGGGAAATTGAAGTTGAAAGAATACAGTACAGGTAACAGAGCAGATAAACTTTTAACTAAGAAGTTGAGAGAAAAAACTGCCTCCAAAAAAATCACTAGAATAAAGATGAATGATGAGACATATATTTCCCCCAAATCCATTGGTCAATGTTTTAACTCATATTACAGTGAATTATATTCCCTTTCAACCCAGGATAAGGAGATAGATAAATATCTAGAGGGTATTAATACTCCAGTAATATCAGAGGAGCAAAAAACAAGTCTTAATACTCTAATAACGGCTCAAGAGGTGGAAGAAGTTATTAAAAAACTGGAGAATAATAAGACCCCTGGCCCAGATGGATTTTCAAACTTATTTTATAAAGCCTTTGGAGATTTACTTATAAAACAACTGGTAGATCTATTCAATAATATTGTAGATAGAGGACAATTTCCAAAGGAAATGTTGAGAGCAAACATATTACCAATTCCAAAGCAGAATAAAGACCAGGGGGAAGTGGAAAACTATAGGCCAATTTCTCTTATAAATACCGATGTAAAGATTTTTTCTGCAATAATAGCAAATAGATTAAAACCCACTTTAAACAATATAATCGACCCTGATCAAATAGGGTTTGTTTCGGGAAGAATTTCTTCAGATAATACAAGGTGCATAATAGACATTATAGATTTAGCGAATAGAACAGAAATACCTATGACAATTTTAACAGCTGACGCAGAAAAGGCTTTTGATAGGGTTGACTGGGAATTTATGAGTAAGTCTTTGCTGAAATTTGGTTATCAGGGTTGGATCCATAGAGCTATAATGTCCTTATATCTTGGTCCTTCGGCTAGGACAGTAGGACCTAATATATGTGCTGATTGGTTTAATCTCCACAATGGGACAAGACAAGGATGTCCGCTGTCTCCAATTTTATATATTATAACTATGGAGATTTTGGCGATAAATATAAGAACAAATAATCTAATAAGCGGAATTACAACGAATCAAAGAGAGCTGAAATTAAAACTATATGCAGATGATTTGATATTAACCCTAACTAAGCCAACTACATCTATTGCTGCTTTTATGGAAGTAGTTAAGAAGTTTAGTGAAGCTTCGAATTATAAATTAAATGAAAATAAATCTATAATTCTAGATATTAACTTGGATACAGTAAGCAGAAATAATATAAAGGATAATTATAAATTTAATTGGGCCAGTATTAGTATTCCATATTTGGGAATATTGTTGACAAAGAAAGCTTCTGATCTAGTGCAGGTTAATTTTTTAAGCTGTTTTAGAAACATGAGGAATGCATTGAATAAATGGAAAAAAATTGAAATCACATGGTGGGGAAGAATGAACCTTATAAAAGCCTACCTTTTACCCAAATGGGCCTATATGTTTCGGATGATTCGTTAAAAATTCCTAAACCTTGGTTGAATATGATTCAAAGAATGATTAATAATTTCATCTGGAAGAATAAAAGACCGAGAATTAGCAAAGGGCTCTTGGCTCAAAAAATAAAAGACGGAGGCCTGGGTTTTCCAGGTATAGAGGGTATTTATCTTGCCAATGAATTTTTCCATATATATAGAACCCAATTGGATAGTGTAAAAAGGGAGAGATGGTATATTTTGGAAAGTGAGAGGTGTCAAGTAAGAGATTTGAGTTCAATTTTTTGGTATAGATATGCAGATCCGAAAATTGCGTATTATTGGACATTCTAACTTATGTATAGATTCCATATTGGATATTTGGAAAGTAATAAGAAGAAAAGCTAATTTAGAGAACAATATTTCAACTATATTAAGGATTTTAACATTAGAAGCTGGGTCCAAAGAGGGATAACTCAAATAGAATATCTATACAAAAATGAAAAAATTAAAACCTTCTCACAATTAACGCAAGAATTCCAACTATCAAATAAGGAATTATTTACATATTTGAGAGTGAAAAACTATTTAACTCAAAATACTATAAGACACCCCCTAGTAGGAACTAAATTGATTTGTGCACTTCTTAATCACAAAAAGGTAGACAGGGTCTCTTCCAAGGCAATGAGTGCTATATTGAAATTGGAGGCTCCTCAGGTTATCATCGCAAAGCAAAAATGGGAGAAAGATCTAAATATTACAATAGATAAGGAAAAGTGGTGCGTAATAATGCCCTGAGCTTGTGAAACTATTCATTGTCTGAACATATTGGAAACCTTGTTTAAAGTCATCAACAGATGGTATCTCACGCCCACAAGAATGGCTAAAATGTATAGCTCAGGTTCACCAATATGTTGGAGATGTAAGAAGTACTTGGGTTCATTCTTGCATATTTGGTGGGAATGTGAGATTGTAGCAAAATTGTGGTATGAAATATTCAATTACCTAGAGAGAATGCTTTGTGTGTCTATTCCAAAATTACCAGAAAATGTTTTATTACATCTTAACATTGACCCTCTTTTACAAAAAGATAAGGTAATTTATACTCATTTTATGATAGCGGCTAACATGATTATAGCACGCAATTGGAAGAGTTCTTCCCTATTTGCCCTAGATAGGGTAATAATTCAAGTTAAGTTCCAACTTGGAATGGAAAGTCAGCTGGATAGGATACATGGAAGAGACCCAAAGAAGGTACATAATGCCTTTTGGTTGGGGAAAATGTAAAGAGAAGGTCAGGCAGATCCTGAGGGAACAGATGAGATAACCCCTATGAGGGAGTCTCATCCATATACCAAAAAACAAAAAACATTTGTGGAAAACTAAGAGTGAAATGAAGGGTCCCCCAGTATTCCCGACGGCATGGGAATAGTTATGTGTTTTAGTGAGTAAAATATTGTAGTAAATAGAGGAGTCTTTAACATAAAGCAGATGACCAGAGAGGCCAAAACATGAAATACTCCTCTACAAATGTCTGAGAAATAAACAGAGTTATTCTTAGATAATGCTGCATTGTATTGTATGGTATTTACTGCTGTATACAAACTTATTTTAATGAAATTTTTTTGAATGTTTAAATTTGTCTGTCTGATGTTGTGATGTGACAAAAGAATAAATTTAAAAAAAAAATAGGAAAAAAAAGAAAAAAGAAAATTTTAATTAATTTAAATAATTAAATGAAACCAGTATAATTACCAGTTGAGTAGATATTCTCATCAGATGAATAGTCTCAGGAACTTATTTGGATGTGTGTAGGTGCATGAGTTATGGTGAAAGGTGGTGTTGGTTAGAAAGTCAGTAAAATTCTAAGTGTTAGAATTTTAAGAGTAGAGTGTTAGTCTCAGATGTTGTCCTGGGTTTCTCTGCATGTCTGAGTTGGAGTCCCCAAACTTCCAATTCCTCTCCTCTGCTTCCTTCTCTCAACCCTCCTGTCTTAACTTTTTAAAGGGAAAATTCACTAATTGGTAGACCAAAAGCAACACTGGGGGAGTGGTTACCTTCCAGATAGCCATTTAGTATTTGGTCTATAGAGGGCAGTCTTGTCCCACTAAACATACCTATCCAGGAAAGAGTTAACTTTT